CTGTAGCTCAGTTTCAGGGTCTTGGCAATCTTCTTATAGCCTAGGACATCTTTATGTAGAGCAACAATTGTTTTTTTCAGATCCTCAGAGAGTTCTGATCGTGCCGTGAGGTGCCATGCTGAACTTCCAGTGACCAGTATGAGGGAAATGTCAGAGTGATAACACCTGCTCCCCATTCACACCTGAGACCTTGTAACACTAACGAGTCACATGACACCAGGGAGGAAAAAATGGCTAATTGTGCCCAATTTGGACATTTTCACTTAGGGGGGGTCCTCACTGTTGTTGCCAGCGGTTTTGACATTAATGGCTGTGTGATGTGTTATTTTGAGGGGACAGTAAATTTACACTGTTATACAAGCTGTACACTCACTACTTTACATTGTAGCAAAGTGTCATTTCTTCAGTGTTGTCACATGAAAAGATATAATCAAATATTTACAAAAATGTGAGGGGTGTACTCACTCTTGAGAGATACTGTAGGTATGAAACATGGAGGAACAAGGAACAGGAATAATAGACACTGAATTAACAGGGATTGATTCCACAAGTGAAATGCCAATTCTGACCGTCCTTGTGATTGGGGGTTGATGACAGAGGTTAAGAAGAGTGATTAAGAAGCGATAGGTTAGAATGGCTTTAGGATTTCCCTTGTGCTTCCCATCAATCTCTAAGCTGCTGAACGGTACATTGAGTTTATTTCACAGGTTAAAATTGAGTATACAAAATTGAGAATTTGTATTCAGGTATTTTGGTGCCCCAGTCTAAATGTTTGTGCTACACTGGAATATTTAAACTTTCTACGGTTCTTCCTGATGATTTTATATATGATTTCATACACCTGTCTAATCAAAGAATCTTGAAGCCAAACTTGGATTTTAAATCTGTCCATCCATGATATCATGGACAACATAACAGATTGGGTAGTACTCCAAAGCACAACTTTCATTTTATGAAGCACCCTCAGAGACTTGATGTGAGGAGAACACCTCACAGTACATATGACAAAAGGTCTGTGAGGATCAGTCTGCAAGTCTGGAGGACGCACATTTGGATTTAGACAGATTTGTTGGAGAGATATCAGGTAGGCAGTGGGATGAGGCCAGGAGACTATGACAGCAGGCCTGTCTTCGCACCTTATGATGAGGTCAGACAACATGTACCAACTACTTTGTCTGAAGCTTTTAGCCACAAATCCAGGAGGACAGCCCCACACATAGCCATGTTTATAATAAGGTGGTATGTAAAAACCAGTGCCCAGTTACACCACTGGCTGCTGAACAAAAGAGAAACCAAATGCATATAAGCCAAAATAACTGATACACATTTGACATAGAAATTTACAGAAGCACATTGTTTACCACAAAGAGAGACATTTCCACACTATTATGAATTTCATACATCATAAAATGACATCTTGTAATTAGGACAAAATGACTACACTTATACTTCAGATGGTTCCTGCATCGAACTATGTAATTTGTCCAGTACAGAGTACTTTTTAAATCTTTAGCAAATTACATTGTTGTTAAGTAGTTGTTGGTGTTTGATTTCCAGAGGAATTTCCTTGAATTTGCTTGTAAAATCGGAATGTACACTTACTTTTTCCTGAGCTTTCGACCGCACCCACACTCTTTCTCTGATGATAGTTACATATGCATCTACAACCGTCACAACATGACTAAAGCTCCAGACATGTTGGTTGAAAGCCCCGGAAAAAGTGTAGTTGAGATTCTTTTTTAAGTTTTTGTTTGAAGCTTCACGCTCAAATTATACAGTTCTTTATGTTCAGCTGACAGATATTCTCTAGGTTACATAGCGAAGTGTTGACAGGTACTCACAAATTACCTCTTAAAAAATGTAATGAAGGCATTGCACAAACGCATGGAAGTAATGGCTCAAGTTAACCCTTGCTCAGTCACTTCTACAGATGATTCTGTTCTGTTTTTGCTTTGTTGCTGTGTGTTGACACATGAGAACTTCGTTCAAAATCAAGTAACATTAGGCTATTTACATTAGCCAAACAGCAGAGAAACATTGGCCGGGTATATAAAGCAGTGAAACAGGTGAACAATCAATAATGTGTATGTTAGAAAGAAGCTGTGTTGCTTTGATTTGTTTGGTTCACAAATACGCACCAACACTACAACGGAACACAGACTGGCCACTAGATGGTTCTAAGAAAACTGGCTGTAAAGAGCGAAGGAGAAAATCTTCCCTCTTAGGGAGGTAAGATATAAAAGTATAGATCAGATCTTTACATTGGAAAAAATACATTCCAAGAGTTATTGCTCACTCTAATTATTCGTCCTCTCTATGCTGTAAGTGACAACAGCCAAAATCCACAGTTCTCATCCTAAACTAAAAGTGCATTCTAAAGTTTAGCTGCAGCAAAATGAGACTTTTGCTGTCTGAATTAGTCAAACTAAATGGTTATCTTCTAGGGATGGGGAAGCATACCATTTCAACAAATCTGAATCTAGCTCCGAATCTGCTTAGGAAATCCAAATCCTTTTGAATCCCTTGTTGAATGTTTTTGGGTAGTTTGTTTGGTGGGGAATGAATACATCACAAAAGAAATAGAACAAAGTCATTATTATTATTATTAAGATTCTAATGTGCTTTCACCACATAATCAGTCCCTGTGACATTCATTAACCCTGTCCTGACAAATCTTTCCTTTTACTGCTCCTCACCGCTGTTACAGCTGCAAAAGTAAAAACATCTCAGTGGAAATAATATTAATTCTACTTCATTCTGCAAATATCAACCAAATAAACTGCATATTTTTCTGCATTCACAAAGTACTGAAGGTGAAATGGTTGTTCCAGGTCTGTATCAGAATGCAGTGCAACATACGTTCTTTACTTTAACATGATGGATGGTACAGAAATATTTAAGCAGGGACTTGTCATTGCTTTCTTGTTGTTGTGCATACACTTCCATGAATATTGCATTTGCAGTTGTTTGGTTGTCTTTGGTGAAGTATATCCACACTTTTAAATGTTTCAGTCAAGGCAGTATCCCATGTCTTGTTAACAGCTGTGTGACTGAGTTAGCACGTTATTAGCTTCAGCATATCATTCCTGCACAATACTGTGTATTTTGTCCCCCACTTTTCACCGTACAATGTTGTCACTTTACAAAGGGATTGCTTTACGGCAAGTATGGACAGAAGGAACAGCAATCGGTTTCTTGCCAATACGCATTGTATGTACCCTGTTGTGACATATGGACTCAATGGAGATTTGACAAGATGTCCTTCACAGTAACCTGAACCCTAAAAAATAAACTGGCTATACCCACCACAACACAAAGACTCAGTCACCCAGTGACACAGGCAAGTTGAGAAAGGTTCACATCAGATATGCCATTTCTCTCTGATATAACTTAAACAGGCTACAGGGGCTTGAGAAAGAAAACTGATGTGTCAAAATCACATCACTGGCAAATAAACTTTTCTGATGTACCTTATACAGTGGCAGAGAAAATAACTGGCCAATTGGAGCTGAATACAGAAATGATTAGTTCCATGCAAACACACTTGTTAGCTTCAGGCTCAGGAGCAGCAACAGACTGCCGGCTTTTTTCTATCTGTATGTATTAATGCACCACATCAAACGTGTAAGCATTTCCTACCTTAACAAACATTCATAAAGGGGAGCATGTTCAAAACTGCATTGTTTACTTGCATGTTAAACTGGCTGTCAGTGTTTTCATTGCCTTTGCTGGAGCATTGCTATTTATTGGTGTGATACTGTTTATCAGTGAAATAGTCTGAACTGCAGACAGGAATGTGTATAGTGCCACTTTCATAGCAATACTAGTTGTAACAAACAAACAAAAAACTCCATAGGATACCTTAAGGCTTCAAAAGACTTATGTCTGAGGGGGTGTGTTGGTCTGATGGACAGGTGTCTCTGCCTTTCATACTCAGCTATGGTGCTTGCTTGACCAACATCAGTTCCACCACGATGCCCAAATGTTGCTTTTCTAGCTTATAAACGGTGTCAACCAAAAGCTGTGTTTTCTACAGTCTGTCAGGTTCACTGTTGGATGAGAAGGAGTTTGAGCAGGGACAGAGGATAAAGACAGCATATATCCAAAGCATTTAGTAACATCCCTGTGTATGGAATGCCATTTATATTATAATATTAAATAAATACAGAAAAAACAGAACCGGACTCAGCAGCAAAGCTAACTGAGCTAACTAGCAAACTGCAGCTACAGTTAGCTGTTATTTTAGCAACAAGTTAAGCTATCTTTCCACCAGGAAACTCTGTAAACCACAGAGAGCTGAGTCAAAGCAGGATGCCAGGGGTGCCAAGCACTTAGCTGTGTCCAATATTTCTGCTTTGGTCTGATTCTGCGAGCTAACCACACCCCATTCATTTAAATATAACAGTAATAAATGTGGCATTAGGAAATAAAAGTCCCCTGATATAAATTAAACTAGTCCTTTGGAAGATGTCCTATTTAAAACTAAACTATATTGTTTAGTGTATATATATATATATATATATATATATATATATATATATATATATATATATATATATATATATATATATATATATATATATATATATATATATATATATATTCGGATTTATATTTATTTATTGCCTAATTTATTTATTTCAGGCATATTTATCTATTTATGTATCTATTTAATATTGACATAAATGGCATGTGTGCTGGGTGATGATTTGTCCCCTAAGATACATTTTACCAAATGATAAGCATCATTTTTTAAAAATCCTAACAACATGCGGTGATCACATCCTACCAAATGACCCTGAATCAACAGTGTTAATACGCTCAGGCGAAAATGGTAGTTAGTACTAACACAGTCTAATACAACATCCCTGCTAAACATCCCACCTTTATGAAGGATATAATTCAGTTTGTGTTGAAGCTGTTTTAGCTGCAGTTCAATTGTATTGTGTTATAAAAAGAGGTGTGAATCAAAGGTGGAATCAACCCCTCTAAAACAGTTCACTGATTAGGGTGCTTTTTCTTTTTAGCTAGATTTACTTAATAAACTGTCAACTGAGTACAGATTCAAGGCAGAATATATTAATGTGTGTTTTAAAAATCCAGACTGGGCTATTTCATTTCTATATCATCATTATTTCATTTCCTTTCTTCTCATGTTGTCACATTTCTTTAACAACAAGATGGAGGACAGAAGCAAAGATTTAGCATGTAGCTTTAAATTGTTTGTTGTGTGTACATTGCTGCCAAAAGTCTTTTTCTTTTTTAGAAAAACAATAAGTTAGTTTTTGCTTGTGGACTCTTTGCTCTTGGAGTTTCAGAGGCTTGCCCCTCGCTTTGCTGAAGCAGAGACATCTTCCTTGTCCGTTATCTCCACTTCCTGTTTGCCCACTGCTGTCTGTGTATGAGACTTTCAGGCCTTGTCTATGTATCTGTCTGTGTGAAGACAGTCAGACATGTGGCTGAACAGCTCCAGTCAGTCTACTGGCCTGTCTTCTTGTCCTTCTGGAAACTGAAGCTGGTCCGGCGGCTCAGTTTCCGCTGCTTCTGGGCAAAGTAATCAGCCCGAGAGGTGCTGGCCCGGGACTCCAGGATATAGTTCACCTGAAAATAAGCAGTAGGAAAAATCAAGACTTTACACCATCAAAAAAATCTCTGCCAAGGTAATATACTCTAAAAAAACAAAAACAAATTAGCACCTGCCGCCCCCGGGTACATTGATGACAGTGGTGGGTGAAATCATTGGGTTATACGCCAACAGACAAATATATAACAGAAACACACATGTAGTAGTGTATTGTGGTGTTCGGGCGCATGCACCTGCGACTCTGTCACGCACACACCAGCTCAGGGAATATCTGTAACAGAGTTTCAAACCAAATACAACAGTCCGGTCCAGTCTGTCCAGAGTTATAGCCAGTGAGCTGCTTACCAGCAACATCTGCTGGCTATGGGGGAGGTGGGACTCCGGTGTTCTACTGGAGAATAACTTGGCTTGTCTATTAGAGGTGTCACTTGGTTTTATTTTCGTTGGCCAACTTGTGTATTTTTTTTGTTTGATTGCTGGAATACAGAAAATGAGGTTTTTGATGAGAGATGGAGTCTTGTGAAGATCTGAACTGAGATAAGGACTCATCAATTGGTGGTTGAACTGTGGGTTTTGTATTGAGCGCTTACTGAATTACTTACTTACTCAGTGTGGTGAACTTACTATTTCTTGTCGTCTGTAGGTAGGCCTACCTGATGATATATATTTTTTAATGCCATGACTTGACTGTCAAATTATCTTGCTCTGAAATTATTATAATTTGATACTTCTTCTCCATCACTGCTCATAAAACAACTAATTTAACTCTGTCCCTTCCTAACCTCCTTCCTTCATATCATGGCTGACATATAGCCTACAGTAATAATACCAGATTAATCGTGCATCGATAATTCCTTTTGTGCATGCAAACATGCAAATGTTTTTGTTTAAATATACAGAACATTGAATGACATTATTATCATTAAATGATGCCTAAATGAGCTCAATGTTATTCCTTCATTTAGTGGCAGACAAAAAAAATTTCAGTGGAACAAAGTGGGGCAGTACATCAGTTATTAAAAAATAATCGCATAGTGAATTGTAATCACAAAATTGGTTAAAAAAAAATCATAATTAGATTTTTCCCAAAATCATTCAGCCCTATTTTTAAGTGTCTATTAATGTGTCAACAACTACAACTGATCCTATGTAGCATCTGACCTGGTTTTAAACAGTTAATGAATGATTGACAATTTAACATAACTCCGTTGTAATTATATAAAATATATCTTTGTATTTTTAACATAAAATACTACATATTTAAAGTTGCAGGAAAAAAAGTACTTTTGCATAAATCGGTCATAAAATGTGATCTGATCTTCATCTTAGTCACAACAATAGACAAACAGAGTCTGCTTAAACTAATACCACACAAACAATTATATGTTTTCATGTTTTTATTGAACATACTGTGTAAACATTCACAGTGCAGGGTGGAAAAAGTATTAAAAAAAGTAAGAAAAAGTATATTGTATTATATTACTGTATAATATTTTTTTTTATGTCCAGACTAAGTCTAAACTAATAGAATTTTCCTGAGACATCCAGCAAGAACTCACCTTTAGCACTATTTCATTGACAGTAGCAGCATCAGACTCGAAGTAGAGAGGCTTGTAGTCATGGTTGCTGAGATAAGTGAGCTTAAATATTGCATGACCTGTAAAACACAGAGGTAAAGTATGTTTCATGAGGCAGAACTGGACAACAGAAATGATGCACTGATCAAGCCTATCACCTCTTCCTGTCTGCAAACTTTGTCTTTGTGTGATCTGAGAGGTAAACCATGAAAGTGTCTGACCTCCACAAAGCTGAGGAAGACAACTGGCTGCAGGGATAAAAAATTGCAAATATTTAAGGCTAGAAATGTTTTGAGCTGACACTAAGGATCAGTCCTTGGGCCAATTATTGAATCAGTATCAGCTCAAATAAACCAGATCAAATGCAGATCCTTCCTTTACTGTACAGTGCTTTGTCCACCTCATCTTGCTAGTGTGTTACCAAAGCCAACTCTAAAATGCAGCAATTCATTGCATGTGAGAGTGAAAACTGAGTGAACGAATGTTAAAAAGAAATGATTAGGGTGCACTGGTGAGTTCCTCTGACTTTTGACACAGAGGTTTGCAAAATACACGGATTAATTAAACTCCAACACTAACAAATATGTATCTCTCCTCTGTGTTGCCAAAAATCACAGTACAAAACATTCAGCTCGCAGATTCTCATTTTTAGCTCGGGCTGACCACCACTTTCACCAGTTAAAATGGCAGATATCACCGGCGGCACATCATATCTGTTGATCATTCTGTGAATATCTTAATGACCGAACAAAAATGGGTCGGTGTGTTTGTGCTCCCAAAAATAATTTGTGTTGCATTAATATTTAGATTAAGTAGCTCGTAAAAAATTGGGCAAATTTAGCAGCTATAGCTAAAATAATTCAATGTGCCAGATACTTAAACAAGGTTTAGATAAAGTACTGTAAGTAAGAACTGAAGTCGGCAGATATGCAATACACCTGGCTCATGTTAGGGCCAAAAAACTTCCTCATCCTTATTTAAGGGTCCCTATTTATCATTTTTGCAGCTGTTCTGGAGCTTTCAATCATTTCACATGGTGCTGATCGTTGAGAGCTGATCATTCAGAAACTCTTTTGGTGCTCAGGAACAAATGGAAATGTAAAGAAAAGGCTCAACTTGCTTCTATGAAATGTCATGCGCAAGTTCTAGAACTTCAAAACCTATTCATAGCCCAACTGTGACCTTTTTTCTGCTGCATGAAGATCATGTAATATGAAAAAAAGTTCAGGTGTATGTTTTTTGTGTTTCGCTTTTTCTTAATTGTAGCATTTGTCCTCATGCAACCCTCTGTAAAAAGTTATGTAGAACCAATCACTTCTAAGCTGTGCTGAGCTGACAATTATATTGTCTTTGTGTGCAAACATGTACTGAGGAAGAAAATGGACTGCATCAGGGACTACAAATATCATGTACAGATGTGGAAAGTAAACCCCTGTTTCTGTGGTCCACTCACTGGGGCTTCTCTCCTCGACAAGGTCACAGGCACAGAGGTGGTCCGAGTCGATAGAGATGGGTTTCTGTCGAATCCAGAACTTAGTACTGGCCTTCTGATTGGTGACTGGATCAATCTCCACTTTCTCTCCTGAAATGCCTGAAGAAACAGTGTTTTTTTGTCAGTTCATGAATGGAAAACATATTTTATTCAGCACTCACTGTTGGACAGAGTCAAAAAGCACAGTTTGTTTTAAATCTTATAATGACAAACGTACTACATACTATTGCACTCCAATATCACAGTTTCCTGCTATTTCCCTAATAATGCAGCGTGTCTCTTGAGATGGCAATGTCACTTGTATCTCATACGTCAACAGCTATTGGAGTTATTGTTATGAAATTTGGTACACACAGTCATGTTCCACTCTTAGAATACTTTGATGATGCCTTGATTTTTCATCTAGCACCATGATCAGGTAAAACTCTAAGTTTGCACCATGAATTTCAAATAAAAGTATATACAAAACGAACTGATCACTAAACTGTTCAGTTCAGAAGGTGGTCCCACACCTACTTTTGGAATTTTGTAGAGCTCAGCAATGGGTGAGGTTTTTCTAATTCATAGTGAATTTGGGGAAGTTCATCTAAAATATCATACAAGCTCATCAATTAGTCATCACTTACTCAAAGCTTTTCCTCATGTGAAGGTGAAACCTATTGTTTGAAAAGAATGCTTGTCCTGTGGCCTGTACTATGAAGCAAGTTCAACATACCCAGGATATCTTTTCATTATCTGGCTTCACTAACCCTAACAATCGAGATCAGGATACGTGGTCACATGAAGCTGGTTATCAACTAGGCGAGTTAACCCAGGGTTTCCCAATCCATACATGAGTGCGTTCACATAAAAGGGGCGGTGTTACATATACAACATATGACTAATTTGAAACATGGACAAATCTACTGGCAGTAGTGGTGTAAAACGTATTTGTATTGAGTAGGTTATTCTACTGTAGGTCATTTTCCACCTTATTTTAGTGTTTATTCACTACTTGAATCTGCTCCCTTTCTCTTAACTTCTCTTATCCCCACACTCACACACACACAAACACACCTGCACCTCTGGTCTCTCACTGCAAACATTATTTGGTGGGTCACCAAATATACTTTGGCAGCTGTTAAAATACCTGGGAAAACACTGTATTTAAGGTTAGCACAAGTTGTAGGCCTATATTTCGAAAATATCACATACAACAATTATATTGTCTTTGAAGATGTTTCATTTTCCATCTTATATAATAATAATAATAATGATAATAATAATCGGGGAAATCGAGGTCTCAACCGAACCATGGATTTGGTGAATCGTTACACCTGTCCATCCAACTCACTTTTAAAGTCACTTTGAAAATCTTATTCATTTATTTAACGCACTCAAATTTTCCAAGCATTGTTCCAAAATAACTTCAGCAACAAAAACCCTTTCATGACATACCAAACTGCTCAAATAGTGGCTGAAAGACTAAAAACTCACTACTTGCGCCAAAATATAAGAAGGTGGGGCGCTAATTAACCACACTCACACTATAATATAAGAAACAAATGCCAATTAAGTAAAATAAATAAATTCACATTAACCTTAATTTGAATATCAAACTACAGGCCTATGCTAATAATATTCAGCCTATTTTAATGGCTGTGTCAGGCTGTCGTTAAACGGACTTGGACTTGACATTTTAAAGCGGTGAGTAGGCTTACTGTCACATCTTAAAAGTATAACAAGTACTGTAGCCTAGAAGGCTTTAGTGCTTAAATCAGTCTCTGTAAGTTAATATTGCTATACAAACGTTTCCCCGCATCATGCAGCAAACATAAAAGCAGCCTATAAATTATTTTTATGTCTTCTACAGTACATGTATCTTCAGCTGGGAAGGATGCTGACCTTTGACCTGGGAACTGGTCTTTTAGGACCATTACTTAGTGTTTTAAAATATAGGACTGCCAACGATATCATTTACCTGCTTACAATCAATTACGTGAAAAATTTCCTGGCAACATTTTTTGTGTAACTTTTGTGAGCTGGAAAATGATTACACATCTGAGTTTAAAGCCTGCAGTAAGCAGTGTGTACCTAGCTGGACATCCGTGGTGAAGCGCAGCTTGTGGATCATACTGATCTTGAAGGACTTATAGTGGTGACTGCTCAACATGTCTTGGACTGTAGTGATGTCAATAGGAGGGTCTTCCTCTGAACTCTCCTCACCCCTGGAGCCTGAAGACAGCAATCAAAGAAAGCAATCAAAAAAAACTAAAATCTAAACTTTAATCTTGATTTAAACCCATTATCTACATTTTATGAATAGAGTTGCACAAAATACAATCACAATCTCAATTCAGCCCTCATTTCTATTTGACAATTGTAACAAGACGGCCAGTCTGCTTTGTTCCCCTATAGGAAAGGGGGGGTTGAGTGTATCACCCACAGAGCAAACCGTCTGCTACACAAAAGGCTTGTCCACTCCTGAAGTGCTGGGTGAGGGAATCCCCCAAATTAACTAACTGTAACTGACTTTACTTTAAGCTATTAAAGTAACACTGTCAAGGAACTTAAAATGGCCAGAAGCCATAAAACTGGTGTCTCCAACACACTTGCAATGTAAATCCTGACCTCGTCTTTTGGTTCACATCATAGTATTAAACTGATTAGATTGGCAGAGATTGTCATAAAACTCTACAGGCATTGTGCTTTGAAGAGGACACTCCCAGGCTCTTCCATTCTACAGTCTCAAAATCTATTGTAACCAATTTGCAAATGTGAAATGTTTAAGGGATATTGTACAGAAAATCAATGTGTTATCAGATCCATTTCTCATGTTTCTAGAATAAGAATTGAATGAACTAAGAATCCAAAAGTAACTAGAACTGCAAGCAGTTGTGATAGGGATTCAAGCCTCCCAATGCCCGCCGTGCCTGACGACAAGGGAGCGGAGGCCGCGGGCCCAGGGAGCGATGAATTTGATTCCTGATGTAATGTGAAAATAGTATGTATTGAAATAACATTTTCCTGCATTATTCAATTTGCAATAAATTAATGTATGTCTATAGGAGTCATCTGATATCAATTAACAGCGCCACCTTGTGTCCAATTGACACCAAATTTCATACAGCCCCTCGGGAAGGCATGCCACATAACGTCCCCAAGTTTGGTGTACATTGGACATCCCTAAGCTAAGATCTGACATCACTTCCTGTTTTTTGTGTTCGGTGTGAAAAATGTTAGCTTATAATTTGCACAATTTTTTGCAGATCAAAATTTCCTTAACAACCTTTTATCAGTTTTGTCCATGCAAAGTTTGGTGTCGATTGGACTTGTGACTTCGGAGCAGTTCATTAAAATAGGTTTTTCAGTTTTCGCGATTTTGCAAAAAACGTCATTGCATGTCCACATGGATCCGGCAGTATCCCTTAAACATGTAGATATACGGTTAATGAATGTCCAATGTAATGCAATGGTAGTTATGAGGCAAAATGTCCTTTGATTGAAAATTCCATTCAAATGAATAGCATTTTCCCACGCTATTTCAGCTTTGATTATAGCGCCACCTGAAGGTCGAATTGCACCAAATTCATCAGGGGCCCATGGGGATCCTTCTGGATCCGGACCCAGCTGTCGTCCTCTCCGGACCTACAGCCAATTTATTACTGAGAATTACTATCTCGTGACGGAGTGTTTCTATTTTAACCTGCGCAGCTTTTCTAGCATTTACTGTACTGGTTTAGCGGCCCAGGAAACACACAGACCAATTGAAATGTTTTCCAATCGTCTCTTGTGATGCTGCTCAGCCAATCAAATCTGTGCATTCCGATATGCACTCTCATACATTTCCAATCCTAGCTGACAGGACAAGCTAGAGCTCACGCTTCTCACTGAACAAGAGAAAGTAGGGAAGTGGTAGCTATATAAGACGGAAAGAAAGAGAAGAGTAGGTATTAAAGCTGTTCATTTGTTAAGATGTGTTGTTTATTATACAACTGGTGGAGACTACCCTTCAATCACTTCAAGCTACACTTTATTTTTTTCTGAAATTAAGCACTTGATTTTAAGATGCCCATTTAAAGAACTTTTCTTTAAATGCAGCCTTTAGTTTACTTAAATTTAGAAATTATTATTAGAGTATTTATTTATTATCCCTCCAGTTTGATCTGAAAACTGACAGTAAATGTTATTGAAATATTATTTGATTTGACAGTAAATTGTTGACTAAAAACCTATGTTGATACAACTATACAGTGAGGAAAATAAGTATTTGAACACCCTGCTATTTTGCAAGTTCTCCCACTTAGAAATCATGGAGGGGTCTGAAATTGTCATCGTAGGTGCATGTCCACTGTGAGAGACATAATCTAAAAAAAAAAATCCAGAAATCACAATTTATGATTTTTTAACTATTTATTTGTATGATACAGCTGCAAATAAGTATTTGAACACCTGTCTATCAGCTCGAATTCTGACTCTCAAAGACCTGTTAGTCTGCCTTCAAAATGTCCACCTCCACTCCATTTATTATCCTAAATTAGATGCACCTGTTTGAGGTCGTTAGCTGCATAAAGACACCTGTCCACCCCATACAATCAGTAAGAATCCAACTACTAACATGGCCGAGACCAAAGAGCTGTCCAAAGACACTAGAGACAAAATTGTACACAAGGCTGGAAAGGGCTACGGGGAAATTGCCAAGCAGCTTGGTGAAAAAAGGTCCACTGTTGGAGCAATCATTAGAAAATGGAAGAAGCTAAACATGACTGTCAATCTCCCTCGGACTGGGGCTCCATGCAAGATCTCACCTCGTGGGGTCTCAATGATCCTAAGAAAGGTGAGAAATCAGCCCAGAACTACACGGGAGGAGCTGGTCAATGACCTGAAAAGAGCTGGGACCACCGTTTCCAAGGTTACTGTTGGTAATACACTAAGACGTCATGGTTTGAAATCACGCATGGCACGGAAGGTTCCCCTACTTAAACCAGCACATGTCAAGGCCCGTCTTCAGTTTGCCAATGACCATTTGGATCCCTACTGTGAAGATGTGGGTGGTAGCATCATGCTTTGGGGGTGTTTTTCTGCACATGGGACAGGGCGACTGCACTGTATTAAGGAGAGGATGACCGGGGCCATGTATTGCGAGATTTTGGGGAACAACCTCCTTCCCTCAGTTAGAGCATTGAAGATGGGTCGAGGCTGGGTCTTCCAACATGACAATGACCCGAAGCACACAGCCAGGATAACCCAGGAGTGGCTCTGTAAGAAGCATATCAAGGTTCTGGCGTGGCCCAGCCAGTCTCCAGACCTAAACCCAATAGAGAATCTTTGGAGGGAGCTCAAACTCCATGTTTCTCAGCTACAGCCCAGAAACCTGACTGATCTAGAGAGGATCTGTGTGGAGGAGTGGGCCAAAATCCCTCCTGCAGTGTGTGCAAACCTGCTGAAAAACATTTGACCTCTGTAATTGCAAACAAAGGCTACTGTACCAAATATTAACATTGATTTTCTCAGGTGTTCAAATACTTATTTGCAGCTGTATCATACAAATAAATAGTTAAAAAATCATACATTGTAATTTCTGGATTTTTTTTAGATTATGTCTCTCACAGTGGACATGCACCTACGATGACAATTTCAGACCCCTCCGTGATTTCTAAGTGGGAGAACTTGCAAAATAGCAGGGTGTTCAAATACTTATTTTCCTCACTGTAGGTCATGGCACCAAATGATAACAAGTTAGTAGTTATGATGTCCTCCGGTTGGCTCTGCCTCAACTGTCAATGATTTACAGAGTTTCCAGATAGCTTCATTTGTTGCTAAAGTAACCGTTAGATTGGTAACTGCTAACCGCTGCTAATTGTAGCTGTCATTTATTAGTTAGCTCAGTTTAGCAACAAGTAAGAAATTCCACACATCACAGAGTTTGAGTGGCCGGAAGACATAAGTGGGGTTAACTGGATAATATTGTCTCCTCAACAGCCTATTATAACAAAAGTTTTTGTACAAGTCATAAAGTTGTGGTTTTGTACAGTACAGTTGGGATTACTTACTGTTTTCTCTGACCAGGCAAAATTCCAGGGTGCTCTGGCTCTCCAGTGTCGAGTCCAGGTCTACTGAGACGTTTGGCTCCGTCTGCTTCTCTAGACGATACATGGGCCCTGTTGGAGAATGATGGAGTCAACATACTTTAGCTTTTCTTTTCTTGTTCAAATCTTAAAGTTGGGTGGGAGACAGCTCTTATCCTTGTTGATGCTGTAATAAATAACATAAATAAATAAGAAATGTCATTAATGTAGGGCCCTATGATTTCTGCAATGTTGAAAACACAGATGGAATCATGGAACTACTACAGCAGTAACTAACAAACCTTCCCAGATCTTGGGCTGCGAGATCCAATTGTCCCCCTCACTATGCCTACTGGGAGATACTACACAAATGATCCTACCAAATATACACACAAATCCACTACACATTTCTCTAGCTGTCGCTAACAACGTGATCTTTCAAGACCGGAAATCCAAGAATCACAGATTAATTTACGTACATAACATATTTCATTAGAAACAGCTTACAAAACATGCAATAAATAAGCCTCTATGGAACCTGGGATCCATACTTAACCTTCTTTAACTCAAATCCACCAAGATTGAGGCCACGTGGATATCCAGACCCCAGCTATAACATCCATTTCACCCTCCAGACTGAACTGGCACATTCCCCCTCCTTCTCTGTTCCTATATTCTATCTCTTTCCCCCCCTTTTACTTTTCTTTCTCATATTTTATACTCATAACTATTATCATACTATTGTTCTACTAACAGAATCTAGTTACTTATATAACTGTTTAGTTACACGGGTATATATTACATACAGGGCTCCAGACTAACTTTTCTTACTAGGAGCTCTATAGCCCCTAACTGAAAATTTTAGGGGCACAGGCAGAAAATTTTGGGCTGCATTTTCCCCATTTTAACAGTGTTACTTATTGATGCTTCGGTAATTGAACCAGAAACTACAATGTGCGGTTTTATTTTAGTTACACTTTAATCTAGTTTACATTTTAATTGAATGGGGTTTAACAAATGCACATAAGATATACCTTTTTTAATCCCTGTGGGGGATATTCAGGTTGTGGCGATGCCATTTAATTTTTGTAAGTGTCTCGGCATTTTTCATGTTTTTAGATGCTGTTGTCCCCACATGTAGTAGACCACATCTAGTGCAGTAGATATAGTTCATGGTGTTTTTGCCAAATCTAAGCCATGTAAACTCCCTCAGCCAGGGGCGGACTGGCACAATTATTCAGGCCGGAAATTTGAATCCATCCCAGGGCACCCTGTTCACGCAAACCACCAGACTGCTAATGTTGGAGACTAACCATATTTGTTGATGTAACAGGTACCAAACTAGGCATAGACGTGACTACTATGTTCATCTGGAAAGTTATCCACATTATAAAATACAAACATTTGTGAGTGACCATTAAAGTAGCCTATCTGAACAGAGATTTTATGGTAGGCTATGCTATGGCTATGGGTGTACCCTTAAATATCAGGAGACCTGATAGATATAGATGATGGCATGATGACAGATGTCATAATTGTTTACTTTGGCATTAGTCATTAGTAGAAAATATGATGTTATTTGTTTAAAAACTGTATATTCACATAGGTTTAGACTATTATCAATACAATGCGTCAATGCATCCTGGCTCTGGATAAATCTACATCTGTCTACTGCATATGTACAACCCACAACCTGGAGGAGGAAGTAGTATAAATGACTGTATTAGTATAATATTATAACATTAAATAAGAAGTATAATGTTCATTTAATAGTATACTGTTAGTAGGGCTACGCTATTTGGAGAAAAAGTCATGTTGCAATTATTGTGGACAATATTGCGATTGCAATGCGATTATAATGGAACAGATGGTCCTATGAGTCACCTTCAAAAACACTTTCAAATTCCATGACTTTGAACTCTGTGAATAAAACATTGCATTTAGGGCTGGGTATCGAGTTCAATACTTTTTAGGCACTGACCGAATTTCCCCAGTACCATTTATTATCAAAAAAATGTCTGGTCTTTCCGTACCAAATTTCGATACCTAAAGGTTCTTGTTAACGTCAATGAGCCAATAAGCATGCAGCATGCCTGATGTGCCCACATCTAAAAGTGATTGTAACTGGCTGTGGTGATGACGTGGAGAAAATCAAAAGTGTGGCTACATTGCACCAGGCTTGATGCAACAGCACACGATGAAATATTTGCATAAGATCAAAATAGCAACATAAGATAAAAGACCGGCAACACGACATATTTGGTGAAGCCCTGGACTGTGCATGGAATAAACTTAAGAGCACAAAGTTGCTTCGTCTTCAACTGCAAGAAGACAGAGCAGTCATCGTCTCAGCGCTCTACTGCCACCGAGCTTGCTTCAACATGACCACCATACTAACAGTGTTGAGCAGCAGCGTCGCTACAAGTAGCGCCGTTACTAGTTTAACTACATTTCTCAGTAGCTTGATGGTAGCGTTGCTGTTTTCTGAATCAAATCAAAGCTCTTTTATTGACTGAGTAGCGTCAACACACGCTACATTTCCCCAAACATTTCTGAAGGATCAGTAAGTGACGTCACCGACGGTGACATCCCGTACCGATCCTTGGGCTGATGTCTGTGTCTTTGCTGCAGGGGAATAAAGGACCACGTGATTGAGTTTACTTTCTATTGTGATAGTTGTTGCCTGGCCACCTCTTCCTCTAGTGAGGAGGAAACTTTGATGTGTAGTGGCAGAAACTTGTTTCTCTCTCTTTCTCGCCCATTGCCATGAATGTTTAGGTTGTTTAGGTTGCAATGTTGCCAGAGCACAAATTCACATATAAACAATAACAAATATATAATTAACAATGAAATGACAATGAATGAAGAATAAGGAATAAAAACAACAAAAACACAATATAGGCCTATGTTAAAATGAAAATATGTCTTGCTTTTTGACAAGCAGTAGAATCTTTCAAAAGGAACAATTATTAAAATTACAAACAATATTAATGATACTAATGTGATAATTAAGTTACTTTATACAAACAACAATAGTTCTCAGTTTGTTAAGATTAAAATTGGTATCGAATAAAGTATCGTTCAGGAACCGGTATTGAAGTTGAGGTATCGTATTGATATCGAAAATCTTTGAACGATACCCAGCCCTAATTACATTACCACTAATTAACCCACCACAGTTTTATTCTTAAGTTCAGAATCCATTCAACTTACTTGTAGTTTTTAAATTGTTGCAGCTGGCAGGCTTCCTGCTCTTCAGAGGCACAAATATTTCTGGCAAAATAAAAGGTGGAGGTATCTGTTTTAACATCAACAGTTACTGGTGTAACAACAGCACTGTTCTCCTGATCTGGAATCTTTAATCAGTAATTTTAACCATTCTACTCTCCCTTTGAGTTTGTCACTGTGGTTGGTGGTTGGTTTCTAATTTATTAAGTACTAACAAAAAAAATTCATAACCATTCATGAACAAAAAAAACTGTAGGCTGTAGTTTTTACTCGCACATCGTAAATCATTTCTCTGGTTCGCACGCATCCATTTTAGGGGCAAATGCATGTGAAATACTCTGATGAGCAACGCATCATTTGTCCTGAACCCCTCGCGCTACTTTTCTTCTTCTTGTTGTTTTATTGGTGAGTGCCGTTGACTTCCCTCCAGAGCTGTTCTACATAGTGACACCGGCTTTACCGGAGGGGAACGTTGCAAACAGCAGGTATAAATAAACGGGGGATTTACGTGGAGATACAGTACGGCCAAAAGTTTGGACACACCTTCTCATTCAATGCGTTTTCTTTATTTTCATGACTATTTACATTGTAGATTCTCACTGAAGGCATCAAAACTATGAACGAACACATGTGGAATTATGTACTTTACAAAAAAGTGTGAAATAACTGAAAACACGTCTTATATTCTAGTTTCTTCAAAGTAGCCACCCTTTGCTCTGATTACTGCTTTGCACACTCTTGGCATTCTCTTGATGAGCTTCAAGAGGTAGTCACCTGAAATGGTTTTCCAACAGTCTTGAAGGAGTTCCCAGCGATGCTTAGCACTTGTTGGCCCTTTTGCCTTCACTCTGCGGTCCAGCTCACGCCAAACCAACTCGATTGGGTTCAGGTCCGGTGACTGTGGAGGCCAGGTCATCTGGCGCAGCACTCCATCACTCTCCTTCTTGGTTAAATAGCCCTTACACAGCCTGGAGGTGTGTTTGTGGTCATTGTCCTGTTGAAAAATAAATGATGGTCCAACTAAACGCAAACCGGATGGGATGGCATGTCGCTGCAGGATGCTGTGGTAGCCATGCTGGTTCAGTATGCCTTCAATTTTGAATAAATCCCCAACAGTGTCACCAGCAAAGCACCCCCACGCCATCACACCTCCTCCTCCATGCTTCACAGAGGGAACCAGGCATGTTGAATCCACCCGTTCACCTTTTCTGCGTCGCACAAAGACACGGCGGTTGGAACCAAAGATCTCAAATTTGGACTCGTCAGACCAAAGCACAGATTTCCACTGGTCTAATGTCCATTCCTTGTGTTTCTTGGCCCAAACAAATCTCTTCTGCTTGTTGCCTCTCCTGAGCAGTGGTTTCCTAGCAGCTACTTGACCATGAAGGCCTGATTCGCGCAGTCTCCTCTTAACAGTTGTTCTAGAGATGGGTCTGCTGCTAGAACTCTGTGTGCATTCAGCTGGTCTCTAATCTGAGCTGCTGTTAACCTGCGATTTCTGAGGCTGGTGACTCGGATGAACTTATCCTCAGCAGCAGAGGTGACTCTTGGTCTTCCTTTCCTGGAGAGGTCCTCATGTGAGCACTTGATGGTTTTTGCGACTGCACTTGGGGACACATTCAAAGTTTTCGCAATTTTCCGGACTGACTGACCTTCATTTGTTAAAAGTAATGACGGCCACTCGTTTCCCTTTACTTAGCTGATTGGTTCTAGCCATAATATGATTTCTAACAGTTGTCCAATAGGGCTGTCGGCTGTGTATCAACCTGTCTTCTGCACAACACAACTGATGGTCCCAACCCCATTAATAAGGGGAAAAATTCCACTAATTAACCCTGACAAGGCACACCTGTGAAGTGAAAACCATTTCAGGTGACGACCTCATGAAGCTCATTGACCAAGGGTTTGCAGCGCTATCAAAAAAGCAAAGGGTGGCTACTTTGAGGAATCTAAAATACAAGACATGTTTTCAGTTATTTCACACTTTTTTGTAAAGTACATAATTCCACATGTGTTCATTCATAGTTTTGATGCCTTCAGTGAGAATCTACAATGTAAATAGTCATGAAAATAAAGAAAACGCACTGAATGAGAAGGTGTGTCCAAACTTTTGGCCTGTACTGTATGTTAACAGGAGAACACCGGGAGAGAACACTAAAATGCGGGAGAAGCCCAGGAAAGAGGAGGGTTGAGAGGTATGCACATTATGGTGGTAGCTAGCTAGCTACATGCTAAAAACCCTCTAGGTGTGTGCAACACAACAAAAAAACAACGCTGATCCGCTGTTAGCTACCATCAAAAAGCTATTATATGGCAATATCTTACTGACTACATTGACCCGCCAATGTGACGGGTAGCCTTCCAACATTTAGCCGCCAAACGGAAAATCCATCCACATCCGCGCTCGCTAAGAGTGTTAATTTCCACCCCTGTGCCCCGGTATTCCATAATACTTTGAAACCGCCCAAGCCTTTTCTGTAAGTTAATCACATGGATACTATGCCAGTAAAAAGACGGAAATCATTATTCCAACACAGCAAAAGTTGGACCTTGACTGAGAATGTGACAGAGAAGAGGAAGAATCTCAATAAATATGGTAAATACTAATCAATACTAATTTAAATGTAAATGAGACAATAGTGATCTCCTGGCTGTTTGTGTGAGGATTTACACTCAACTGTGTGTTTGTGTGTGTGTATATCTAGAGGTTGGGAGGGTTGAGTGGCTTCACGTCCATTTTATACGTCTGCGTCAAGTCTACACCATAGATGAAGGTGTAGACTCTGTGCCGTTGTGAGTATTTTTACTTGTGTCTTGGTATCTGCAATTATACCAACAAAACCCTAGTTGGCGGTAGGATGTCTATGATCTACTGTGTTGAGTTTCTTCTTCTTTGTTGGTGTAGGCTACAATAAACAATGGTGACTGTAACTGAGCAGATCATGTTGGAGTTGGAGGTGATCGATGTTGAACAGTTACTTTTAGTGAAATTACTAAAAAGCAGAAACGGGAGGTGTTGGAGGAGATGGTATGTATGACCCTTGAACCAGTTGAGGCAGAAGACAAGCCACAAATGTGATGCTACCAAGCCGACTATGTAGTTACATTTTTGAGGAGGTGTGCGCCAGGTTATGGTGTAGGGTCTGCGGCTACGCGTAGGCTACAGCCCACCTATGGTGTAGATACGACGCACAAGTATATGGCCTTTAGGTTGCCATGTTAGACTCACCTTCAGACAATGCTATAAAGAGGTAGAAACAGTATTTTGATGAAAAATGCAACTTCAGTTTCATATATTGTCAAGAGCCAGTTCAAACAAGAATAACTTTATAAAAATAAATTTTTCTATGTAGTCCATGGTGTACAAGGGTGTACCTAAACGCACAGTATGAATATGCTATATGAGAGAGAGCCAAACAAACTTAACACATTTAAACACAAATGTATTGATACATGGTTATATTAACTGGAGAAAGCAGTAAATAATCCAAATGTTATTACCTGAGCCTTTCTGTGAACCTTTTCTCTTCTTGAGTGCTTTCTGGAGAATTTCCTTCATTGTTACCTTCAGACTGTCCACGGGAATTAGAGAGAAACCATGAGCAGCATTTCTAAAATGGAAAAAAGTGGAAAAGGTTAACAATGCCACTGTAGATTTATCTCAATCATTCAGACTCAATACAAATGTAGTAAACAACACTCCACTAGACCTGGAACAGTACAGCTGAAGACACCTGGCTGTCCATCTTAATGGCTTCTTCAGTTCTGACTGAATAGACATATGGGCCTCTAGTTGCATAGCAAGTAGCAGTGATGGAAACCTGGTGGGGTGTGTGTGTGTGTGTGTGTGTGTGTGTGTGTGTGTGTGTGTGTGTGTGTGTGTGTGTGTGTGTGTGTGTGTGTGTGTGTGTGTGTGTGTGTGTGTGTGTGTTTTAAGCCCCCAAAATAGGATGTAAGCAAATGTGGAACAAATCTTTGTAGCTACAGTGAAAATATATAATCCTATGTCTTGACCTCTTGTACAGGACTGAAACAATATAACATATGCATATACAAACGCTCCACAAGAAGTCTAATAAAGTGTTTCCATTTCATACAGAAAAAGATGAGAGTACCATGAAACAGCAGGCCAAATTCTGGTAAATAATAAAAATTCAAAAAATACAGAGTGTGCATGATGTGGATATTGGTTGAATATATTATTGGATATTGGATAACTGGTTAATTGAAATTATCAACAGACACACACAGCTGTGTGTTAATTTGTGCCACAGCCATGAAGGCCTGCAGTATATGACAGATTACTAGGACTGGGTGTTCTGCCTTCAGGTTTAGTGAATAAGTACAAAATAGAGCCCAACTGATTTATTGGCTGGTGATATGAGATAACTGCATTTAAATCGGCATCTGCGTTTATAACACCTGATTTATGACTATTAAAAAAGAAACAGAGACAGATCCTTCACTCATGTCATTAGTGTTGCATAGTTTGCCCACCAGAGGGCGCTCTGCAGCTTCCCTGTAAACAACACTTCTGCACCACAAAAACCACAAAAGAAAACAATGGAGAGTGGCTGTGTTGGCAGTGAGTTGGTCATTTGGCATGTTCATTATATGAATTTAATTATAATAAAAAACAGCCCCAATCACTTCTCCTCTCCTGAAAACATTACTTGCTAATGTTAATCCTCCAATTTTTCGTGTGTTTAAGGCTATGCTGCTGACAAACATGATTGAAGATTTATTTCTGAAACAGTGTGGCAGTTCTTGTGAACAGTCCTATCATGTCTCTCTAGTTCATCATTTCTAAATATTTACATTGCTTACAGCATATAACACTGCCCGTTTAAAATGGCTAAATTAGCCACAAAGCTAATGCCAAATCAGTGGAGGAGCGCTAACGTTAATGAGTGGTTAAACTGTAGAGTTTAATTTGTTCTGAATATCTGCAAACTGTTTGTCTGTACTTGCAGTTGATGTGTCTGAAATGATTAAACCAGACCAGACCTATAAATAAATGTGAGCTCAACAAGTATCTAACACGGCTTCTTGCCAGACAAAGTTATCCAGCTCCTCTTTCAAATGTGAAAGGTATTAGTTCTACTGTAGTTGAGTGAAATCTCAAAGTTGCAGGTCCTCGTTGTAGACAGTCATGTAGTATTAGATGCACTGAACAGCAGGTCACTGCATCATAGAGAGAATTAGAGCCATATGATGGTTGAGAAATGGCTTCTTGTAGCTTTGGTAAGAATTAGTGCTGGTAAAGGGATAAACTAGATGTGAATATGCTACATTGAAAGTAGTTATTATAGCAGATTATGTGTAAGGTAAAATACATGTTTATTCTCTCTCACTCTCTCTGTTTACAGATGGCTGAAAAAGTTGCACATTCTAGCAGCAAAAATTTATTGATATGCAATTGTTTACATGTTAAGTTGTTGAGACTGTAATCTATTTTATTAATATTATCCATTTAGGAAAAGGTATTATAGCCCACATACAGAACAGCTTTCAATATCGGCCTGTTCTAAGTGTAGTTTATACAAGAAAGAGGCCTATTATCCAAATAATTTTCAAAATCAATATCGGCTCATTAACTGGCTCTTTTTCACTTTAATATCGGCATCGGCCCCCAAAACCATATAGCCCAGGCTCTAGTTATAAACATGATTTTCTACAAAATATTTTTTTCATTTAACAAATGGAGCCAATAACTGCAAATGTCAAGTGCTTTGTACACATACCACCACATATAAGAACTCATATACTCCACATACTCCAGTCTAAAACCGGCAAATAATTTTTTTTAATCAGGAACAATCTGATCAAAGAATAAGTAAAAAATAGTGATTTTGTTGCGTGGTGGATAATTCGAATCGCTGTGGAGAGTCCGGTCAGGACTCTGGGTTTGCCTTTACAGAGAGAGGCTCCAATAACCAGGCATCCCTTTATTTTCTCTTTAAGGTGAATACAGTACTATCTACTGGCAATGATGAGATTTGTAGTTTCTGAAACCATAAACAGAATACAAATAATACATCAATAAAAGGTATACAGAAAATACTTACAATCATACAATATACCCTTTATCTATGTCACCCGTAATATCCTTATAAGCATAACACATACTTCTGTTTATATATAATTTTTTTAAAAGTATATTCTGACTACACAGTTCTAACATGCATACAGTATCCATGAACAGTGACACTGAACAATAAATACAATCTATAGACTTCTCATTCGAACAGAAATGGGCTGCTACACATTTAACATAGCTTAATACTGTCAACACTCTAATTATACATCTACTTAGTAAATGCAGCAGCAACAAAGCAGAATAAACTTATGGTTTTATGGACGCACAAATCACTCTTGAACTGATAATATACCAAACTCTGGTGTTAAAGTTTCTCCCTGAGCTAGCTTTTCTCCATGCTGCAAACAATCTGGCCTCTCTCTCTTCCTGTTGCTGGGCAGAATAGAGCGTGTGCGCCCCCTACTGGCCAGTGATTGGCTACTCATTCCCTAAAGCCTTCCAGCAACAGAAGGCCTTTTTAACAATAAGTAAACAAGACCATTATCTCACCATACTTTCAATGATAACCTTAATACTTGACAGTTTATGATATGACATTTCAATAGGAAATGTGAAGTTGACGCCCGCTGTGTTGAATTTTGGGTAACTGACAGCATTTTGTTTATGTCGCCATGTTTTTTTTATGCACACTATGTAGGACTCAAGAAATTCCACATCATATTGAGCTCCTGGAAGAAATCCATGCAACATGTCAAGAAATGGATAAGACCGCTAAGACACAGCAACAGCACCTCGAGGACAGAGCAGAAAAGGGTCAACTCTCCCTTGCCCACACTGTACTAAAGTATTGTGGATCGCGGATCGGCCTCTACAGCAATCTGAAGAGCCAAAAGTAGGTGGAACAATAGTAAGAACAGCCATAACTACCTCAAGTGACTGCTGGTGATGGGTTTGTGTGTTTTTGTGTGTATATATATTTGTGTGTACTACTGTTTGTGCAATTCACCTGTGTGTGCCTTGTAATAAATACCAACTTTCACTGTTAAATAACAAGCTATCTCCACAGTGAAAAGGTTTTAGACCAAATTTTTAAAAGTGTCACAATCAATCAGATGTGCCGGTGGCGTTCCACAGCGTATCAGTCAAAAACTATTTTGGCCCATCCAAAATTTTAATCCCGATATGGGCTACAAAATTCAATCACAGCTGCCAAAAGGGCATAAGTGTGTGAGGCTACACTACCAGATGAACTTTACACCTTTTATGCTCGCTCTGATCTCCTCAACAAAGAGTCAGCTGTAAAGTCTACTCCACCTCCAGAGGACCGGCCCCTGTCAGTATCCACAGCAGATGTGAGGAGAGTCCTGCTGAGAGTGAATATGAGCTGGGCCTCATAACAGTCCTGGCCGTGTACTAATAACATATGCCAATCAGCTAGTTGATGTTGTTACTGACATTTTCAACATCTCACTGTCTCAGGAGAGGGTTCAGCCACCATCACTGCAGTACCTAAAAAGTCTGCAGTGTCTAGTCTGAACGACTACCGCCCTGTGGCTCTCACCCCAGTTCTGATGAAGTGCTTTGAGAAACTGGTTCTTCTGCACATAAAGAACAACATCCCAGCCAGCCTGGACCCTCACCAGTTTGCTTTCAGAACCAACAGATCCATAGAGGACACCATCTCCACTGCCCTCCACTCAGCCCTCATATACCTTGAGAAAAACAACACCTACATCAGAATGCTGTGGATTTCAGCTCAGCATTCAACACAATCTCTCCTGAAACTGATCAGCAAACTCAGCACTCTGGGTTTATATACAACACTCTGCAACTGGATACTGGACTTCCTCACAAACAGACCCCAGTCAGTTCTTATTGGCGGACTCACCTCCTCCACTCCAGTGCTCAACACCGGATCCCCCCAGGGCTGTGTGCTCAGCCCCCTCCTGTTCACACTGTACACCCCCGACCTGGAGAGAACTCTGTTGTGAAGTTTGCAGATGACACCACCATCATCAGCCAGATTTCAAACAACAATGAGACTTCATATTGTATTCAATTCATAACCTTGCAGAGTGATGCACAGAGAACAACCTACTGCTCAACGTCAGCATAACTAAGCAGCTGATCATTGATTTTAGGAAAAAGGAGAAAGACACACACTCCTGTCTACATCAGTAGAGCTGAGGTGGAGCAGGTGAACAGTTTCAGGTTCCTGGGAATCAGCATCACAGAGAAGCTGACATGGTCGTCTCACATCTCCACGCTGGTGAACAAAGCTCAGAAACGACTGTTTTTCTTGAGGAAGTTTAAGAAGGCCAAATTCCCACGCCAAGTTCTTGTCAGCTTTTACAGAGGAGCAATAGAAAGCACCCTGACTAGAAACATCGCTAACTGACATGGGATGTGCACGGCCCAGGACCGGTGGGCTCTACTGAGCGCGATATCAGTGAGGTGTCTGCAGAGCCCAAAGGATACTAAAGGACAGTAGCCACCCAGCCACAGCCTGTTCACCCTGCTGCCTTCTGGGAAGAGACAGACAAGTATCTGCTGTTGTACCACCAGACTGTA